CAACTCTCTTGTTTCTGAGCTCACAGCCTTCTGTTCAGCTGAATTTCCCCAGCTCTGGCTGGGTCCCTCCAACAGTTCTGGATTGGGACCATTTCAAGGCAGCCTTTTCCCTTTAAGTGCAATGAACTGAAGGTGCTTCTCGGTTCACATAATAAAGGCTTTCAGACATGCCTTAGGTATACTTCCTGTTTTACATTTCTCAGCAGCTGAGTGATGGTTCTTCAGAGGTCTGGGAGAATCCAGACACCAATAGCCTTGACGGAGCAAATGAATTGGGCCAGGTCTGCTTTCATCCAGACCTGAAACCAGCTGCTCAGCGATGCAGAGAGAAAGGGATGCTTGGCTGATAGATATTTACTATCTAACTTTGAGAATTTAGTACTTAGCCTATGCCAGTTCACAGCTGTGAAACAGTTATGTGAATGACGCTATGATCTGCCATGCATGGAATTAAGCATCATCTGAGACCAAAGCTGACTGAGGACTCCTAGGGTTGTGTCACAGATTATCTATAACAAAGGAGCAATAAATTGTTAAAAAAAATTGAAAGAAATGTGTAAAAATTTGTACATGGAGAGAGTGTTTAATATCCTCACACTAAGGTATGCACTGCAGAGCTTCTGCTTACCCGTAGGAAACAACATGGAATGGATATTTATTCCTTTATTTGTAATGCTTCCAAAAAGATAACATTAAAAAAAAAATCATTTCCCCCCCAATGCGCCAATCACCAATGTGCACATGTCCAAATGGATAGCTAGGGGCCTTGAAGGTAAGGAAGCGGGAAGGGAAACTTGTCAAAAATATGACAATATATACTTAATAGTGAGGGAAGTTGAGGAGACAGTGTTCGCCCAAGTTTGATTTCAGCTCCCCCCTCCCTTCTCTTAGAAGAGGCGTCTGGGATCTTGTCCTCCAAAAGAGACAAACGCTGACACCACTTTTTTTTGTAAGTTTATTGTTTTTAAATATCACTTTTTTAAAGTAGTTATGTTTGACTCCATTAACATTCAGGTAATCAAGTGAAAAGACAATGGATGGGCATGATCTCTTAGCACAGGCACAGCCAAAGAGAGCAAGAAATGGAGGTTGCTTGTGTTTTAGACACATCTGTCTCCCTCACCCTCTCATTCCTGTTTCCGCAGAAGCCATGGTGGGAGCCTAGAGCCACCCTGGGATGCCTGTACTACCGGTCACAAAAGGTACAGGAGATGGAGATGAAAGGGCAGCTGTGGGATCACAGCACTGTACTTGCCCCTCTTGCTCAGTGCTAGAGCTTTGTCAGAGTGGGCAGATGGTAGCAGTTATCCCATTGCTGGACCCGCTGACAGATCAGAAAGCCATCCCATTGCACTCGGTTTGAGAACAATGAGCTCTTTGAGATATCCCCAGTGGCTTTTTAGTACAAAATTTGGTTTCTCCATTCGCCACCACAGGCCTCTCTGAATTTTAACCCTCTCATTTTGGAATTCATACTTGCTCCCCCACTGCCAACCCTCCCAATGGAAGGCATCTGCAGCAGCAGCTACTATTGGCAAGAGCCATGTGTCTTTACATAGTTCCATTCTAGAGGTTCCCCTCCAGCATGCCCATTTCGCCCCCTCCACCATCCCAGAGGCCTGGCCCTGCCCATGCTGTCTAAGCCTGGCTCATGAAGCATCCTGGTGTTAAGGTGAACTGGTTGTAAATCGTAGAGCATTGTCACACTATACATACTGTGATTAACATTAGATTTCTTTTCATAAAAAAAAAGTCAAAAACCAAAACAAGGCAGCTGGAGGAAGAAGTTAAACACACAGCGTTGTGGCATGCTCCACAATCTAAAAGAATCCCAAACATTCAGTTTAGTTGGCCGCAGCTCTGTTCCATCTTGGGTCTTCAATCCCAGTTTGGGTTAATTCCTAGCTCCTGTCCTCCCACAACAAAATGGGACTCGCCTCCTCTTCCTTGGCTTTATCACTGGTTTCTCAATGACTGGTTTCCTCTGGGAAGAGGATTCTCTTTACAGGGAGTGTTGAGCTCATAGCCACAATCTTGCAAAGCCCTAGATAGCGATGCCACTTCAATCCGCAAGAAGTCTTTGGGAGCAAGCCCTGGGTCTGCATGTTTGCACACACACATAGGCAGGATAGTATCTTGGAAGGAGCACGAGTTCTGCACTGTGCTTCTCTTCTTGCTCATCTAGCTTTAGGATCGTTATTCAGATATAGGGCAATGTCCCTTTTGGGTATACTGAGCAGTTCTCAGGGATAACTTGGGAGAGGGGGAATCTGCTCTCAAATTTTACTTAGGCCTCGCCTTATAAGAAATTTAGGATGAAAGATCAAAGGGGGGGGAGTGGTAGTTTTATTTAGCTGTTCCTCAACTCCTCAGGCTATTCTTGAGTATGACAGCTACTTCTCTCCCTCTCTGGCCTCGTTAGCTGAGAAACAAGGTATGGAACATGGTGATGCTCCTATAAAAACCTTGAAGAGAAATGGACAGGGCATTAATGCCATCTGGTGAAACTCATCTTTCAGCTTTCTTCGGTGACCCTCAGTTCCACTCTGTGGAGTCAGAAACTCCATTCCCTCTAACCTAGTCCCAAATCGCTGCCACCACATTCAAAAGCCATTTCCCCAGCCTTCAGAGCTCCAAGTTCCATCAGCATCTCTTCCAGGCAGGCTTCTTTTCTAGGGCAGGAGGCTGCCAAGGTAGCGGACAACTACAAGGGCACTACCAGAGTTCCAAGTGCAGCGTTACTTTCTGGATGGCAAATTCCAGCCAGCCTAGGGCACTATTTGACCACAGATTTTGCTTCCATGTTTTCCCTCCCCATTATCAGGATTCAGATCACCTTGCTCCGCAACAGTCACTTCTTCCCACCTGCTGCTGCAAGAGGCAAGTCTAGTACCTTAAAGCTACAGCAAAGAACACACCTGACCTGCACTCCCTTCTTTGGAGACCCAATGAATCTTCAAACAGAGCTCCGGCTACTGACACAATATCAACTGAATAATGAACAATATCAAATATACGGTACAGGAAAAAACAAAACTGAAATGCTTAATGGCATATTTATACACATTTATCAACAGTCGACAAAGAGGCGGCAAGTTACACATCCATTCTGTATGCTAACAACCCTGATGCACATATATGTAAACAGACATGCTCAGCTGATGAGTCACATTTTACATATAGCCACATATCAGAGGTGGCCCTAAAAATGTACAGTGGTGGAGGCACCTGGTGCACAATCTTCTCATTTCCAATGCATGCAAAATGGACATTCAGGGTAATGTTACTGTTAAGGCTGCTTCTAAAGTTTGATTACTTCCTGCTCAACCCCCAATCAATCAAGGGTGTGCTGATACACCTCTTCTCTAGGTTACTATTTTTTTAAAGCCCTTAAGTGCTGAAGAAAGGGAAATTGGGAGAAAAAAAATAAGCCTCTGGATTGATCAATTTACCCCATTGTGGTAATGCCTCATTCAGTGTGTAGCAATGGCTGTGAGCACAGTGGAGAGGGGTGTGTATAGCCTAGCAAGAATACAGGATCCCCTCACTCCAGACCTGATTTGGAACACTTCCTTTTGGCAGTTAAAAAGAAATACTTCAGAGAAACAAATATTCGTAAAAGGGGAGGGGGGAGGGAAGAGGGTAAAAGCAAGAGGAACCTCAGGTCTTAACTTGGCAGAGAATAAAAACTTCCTGCTTCTGGTCAGCCAACAGCTGCAAGATGCTGCAATCCCTGGCTGAAGTCCCCTAAAATATATCTATACATCTAGAGCATCTATATGAGAGAGAGAGAGACAGACACACACACAGACAGGCGTACAAGTTTTATTACATAGATTTTGGAGGCATATGCTATCCTCTGAGTATTAGCTATACTAATAGCTCAGCAGAGTGGCACACAGTTAAATACACACACACCACTTGCATTTTAACTATGCAAGAAGTGTGTGCAAACTGGTGCCTTTTTAAATTCTGAATTTCTCAGCTTCAGAGAGTTGGTTTCCAGCTCTTAATGTAGATTTGAAAGTGGAGGGTTTTTTTTTTTAAATGTTTAATAGGTTATGGGATTTTTGGCATAATTACAGCATATGATAATATGCCATGCACAAGCAAAACTGTATCAAAAAAGAATTATGACGCCAAGACAAAATGAGGTTAAATACACGAGGAAACACACAAAAGTCGCCCTGCATTTTTTTTGTGGATGATTTTGAGGATTCAGGACCTCAGCTCTTATCTACCCTCCCCCTTTTAATATTATTTATATAGAAATATTAGTTCAAATTAGGAACCAACAAAACCTGACTGGATGTTAAGCCTCTCCAGTCCCCATGTTACATGAATGGAAAGAAGCGTCCAGGAACATAAAGCAAGACTTATTTTTCAGTCATCTGCAGAATTTGAAGAAAAAAAAAATAGAGGGAATAAGAATTAATTCCTAGCCTATGAACTGAGACAGCTTCAGCCCTAAAGTAACAGGTCAGTTTGTTTTTTAAATGTGTTGCTAACCTCATGGAAAAAGTTAAGAGTTAGAATTTAAAATTGTAACTATTAAATTCACGTTTATTTAACATACACTGATCTTATTGGCACAGGCCATCTCTTCCAGATTCCTCTGGGCTGCATCTCAACTTGAAAGCCAGTGTCCCCTGCCTCTCATTTCTATCAGGCTTTGCACACCAGGGAATGCCACCATGGGGAAAAGAGATGAGAACAAAAGGACCCTGATTCAGTTTCCAGTTATGTTTTTTTTAGAAAATACCACCCCAAATAAAAAACCCAAGGCAAAAGTGTCCATTGTCCTCACAAGAGGCAATAGCCTGCTGCTCTGTCCCTCTGTTTTTGCACCATAACATCACTGAAATAAGAGAGAGGAGGGAGGGAGGGGAAAAAAAAAAAAAAAAAACCAGACTGTGCCCACGAGGCTTAGAGGAAGGCTAAAGGACGTTGCTTGTTTTATTTGTAAATGGTTACACTCTAGAAATGATGGGATGGCAGGGAGTAGTTTAAAGTAAAAATGATAAGTACTGTATGGTAATATTGGAAGTATTTATATACATAGTTTTCTTTGTCTTTTGTTGAAATGTCTCCTGGTCACTTGGTGGCACTTGGGGTCCCTTTTGCGCAGTCATCTCCAACCTTCCCCCCCCCCAGCTCTCCACTTCTCAGTACACAGAGCTGTTCCTTATGCCACAGCACAGTATCATGCTCAGGATCATTTCGAAGATCTGAAAGGAGAAAAAAGCTGCTAGTGAAATTTTCATTTGTAAGCTCCAGCCATGAGCTCTTCCTTCTGGCCAGAGCTTAGGGACCCAGAGAGTTTGCTTTCCTGGTCTGCTATGCTAACCCAGGACCCCCTCATTCTTCCTCTACACTCCTGGCACAAGAGGAAGTGTGGGGGGAGGGGTAGGTCACAGGTGGGACAATGCTATACCTGTCCTCCATTGAAGTTAGGCTCTTGGCTGCTCTAATTTCCTGCAGTGTTGGATACAACAGACTCGGGGCACTCTAGCTGGCTGTTTGCTGAGGTCCCTAACTCCACTGTGTCTTAGCAGAGCCTGTAGACTGTTAATAATTCAACCCATGATTTACAATGCAAGAACAAGACTATGGCCCAGCTAGTCCTGGTTTCTTGCTTCTGAAAGTAGCCAATGGATGCTTTGGAGGAAGAAGACGACATGTCTCATAAACTAACTGAAAAAAAAACATACAGGAAAATAAAATGTCTTGCTTCCCTCCAGCTGGGAGATATAGTTGCAGTGAAGAGAACAGGACAGCGATCTCTTAAAACATCACCTCGGCTAGAGCAGTTTTCAAACATTCTTAAGTGTCGAATGTCTGTGTGAAATTTAAAATGTTATGCCTCAATCACATCCTGCAGCAGAGAGTACCACAAGGTAGTTGTGCTTTGAATAAAAACATTCCCTTAAATCTCTAAGGGTGTGTCTAAACTACATGGCTCCGTCGATGGAGCCATGTAGATTAGGCTGATCCGCAGAGGGAAATGAAGCCGCGATTTAAATAATCGCAGCTTCATTTAAATTTAAATGGCTGCCGCGCTCTGCCGAGCAGAAATTTAAATGAAGCCGCAATTATTTAAATCGCGGCTTCATTTCCCTCCGATCAGCCTAATCTACATGGCTCCATCGACGGAGCCATGTAGTTTAGACACACCCTAAGGGAGGGGCACCTGGGAAAATTCAGCACAAGCGCTTGTTCTACTGTGGACTTCATGAGTTAAAGCTCAGAGTAGAGCAGCCAGCCTGGAGACTTATGTAGTATTCAGTGGCTTGGTTGCAGGATGAGGGGAGAGAGAGGAGAAGACAGACAGAGTACTGATGTGAATGGGAACTAGAATGGATAAGGAAAGAGGTGCTGTGCTCTTGTCCCCCACTATGGTACGAAGCAGAGTGCATTATGGGAAGGAAAACAAACTAATTCCAGCCTGACTCTCAAGGCTTCCAGAATTAAAATAGTTTTGAAGGGAGATGAGATGGGGCCGCAGATTAAGGAATTTTGCCTTCATACTCCAGAGACTTGCCACTGAATGAGACTCTGGTACCAATCCTTCCACTAAAGCGACTCTAACTCTACTCTCTAGTGAGTCTGTGTTACAAAGCCAACACTCAACTTTGCACTCTTGGGATTGGTCAGGACTGAGGTGAACTGGTACAGCTGGAGAGACTGAACAAGGACTCTCTCAGCGAACAGGACAGGTCAGTTTTGTGACACAAACTCCCCCAGTAGGATTTTCAGGGTCTGTATTAGTAGTAGAGTGACATGGACTAACACAGCCCATGCTGTGTTAGTGAGTCAGTGGTAGTTATGTGCTTTCATGAACACTAGATTTATGGTTTCACTTAAAAAAAAATCCAGCTGAAAGTGCACCAGCATTCCTACTTACCATGATTACTGCCACCACAATGGCTGCAATACCAATCAGATACAACTTCTCTGAGAACAGCTCATCGATTTTCTTATGACAGTCCTGGTGAACGTAAGCAGAGAAGAACACATATCAGGGCAGCTTAGTCTCTCATTCTAGTTGTGTGCCAAGGCACATTTGTACAGAAAGGAGTGGTGTTCAATATTTCTACTATCCCTCCCACCCATTCCTATGAAACTTCATGGCATAATTTCCCATCATCAATAAAATAAATGGCAAAACGCCCACTGATTTCAGTAGGAATGAACATTTTGCTCTCCTTGGTAGCATCCAAAACCTTGTTTGGTGCATTTTTTGAGGAACAGCCAAGCTGGAGCCATCGCTAACCTTAGCATGCAAGGACTGCCCTGGACTGCCTTTTTGTGGAGGATTTGTTTGGTGCTGAATAGCCCATCCATTTCCAGTGGGCCTGTCAATGCTGGGGAGAGGATTTTCTTATCCTCACTCCTTTGCTATCTCCTACTTATTTCCCCCATCACCAACCTTTGCCAGCTAGGGGAGAGGACTGGCTCCTTAATAGAAATTATGACAGAAGATGGGTTAAGTCGAATGCATAGTGTTCTTCCCCTTCTTGATGGAGCTGATTTCCCCATCACCCTCCCAATTCAGGAATTGGGATGCAGCAACCCTATTGCTCTCCAAGAGAAAAGGCAAGTTTCCAATGTGCTTCAATCTTGACACAGAATCCCACAGATCTGCTCCCTCACCCAATGTTCTATGGTAGTAACAGTAGCCATCCGTACCTGAAATGGACCGGTAAGCAAAGATTGTTCCTTTGGACACAGCTCAGTCATGAGCGAGATGCCGAAGGATGTCATGGCATTTGTACCGCAACAATCCAGCTGTAGGCGGAGAGAACACAGGGATAGCTTGGTTTGAATGGAGAGTTGCGAACTTCTAAATTCAATTTGGATTTCTGTGTGGTGCAGTAGCTGGACAGGATAACCATACCAGGTGTGTATTCCTGACTCCTGGAGATCCCAGGAAAATCTAGCTAAACCCAGCAGAAATGTTGGATGAAATCATCAGAGTTGAACTCCTCTTCCACGGGATTCTATTTAACGGAGGCATGGCACAGTTTCAAGGTAAGCAAAGGGGATTTTATTTAATCTCAGATCTAACTTACAACAGGGGCTATTCCATCACCAGACCTATCTCAGGTTTGTCTAATACCAAGCCTAAGCATCCAGGGCAAAGTATTGAAATCTGGATGAAATTTAGTTCTCAGTGGGTCCTGTTTTTGCCATCCCTTGGATCAAATACTCAGACCTCTCTCTCTCCCCCCCTGTTCTTGCTGCCCCTCATTGCCAGTTATTTGAAGAGCCTTCAGAAAAAATGGTGTTTTTTGCACCAAGCTCTGAAAATAACTAGGTTGAGCTAACTCTGATCCTCACAACAAAGATCCTGTGCTGAGAAAGTTTGCCACCTGCACCAAGTTCTGAAAATAACTAGGCTTGAGCTAACTCTGATCCTCACAACAGAGATCCTGTGCTGAGAAAGTTTGCCACCAGCTCCTGATCATGTTGGACTCCATGTAGAGAGGAGTTTAAGGCACCAGCTTCTCAACCTCACTGCCTCTTCCCTCGCAGGAGGAGCAAGTTATGCACAGCAGTGCTTATTCCTGACCACTTCTGTGAAGTCCCATGAACTGAAGGAGGAGTCATCACAATCACAACACATGCATTAGTCAGATTATTCCCAGGTGCATATCCCCTGTGGATACCTGGTGACATTATATTTGGATGTAGTACTGTAACAGATTATTTTTGTACCCAATAGAGAGCCCACCAGAACTATCCCAGGCAGCCTACCGTTTCATGGAATGTCTTCACCACAGTTTTTGCATTAGTTGCATCAGAAACCCCAACTTCTTGCTGCAATGCTTGTTGTAATGCTTGGTCATAAAACTGCTTCACATCTTTAGCAATCTGCAGAGAGAGAGAGCAAGAAAAATCCCTTTTACCAGCACAGAAAATAAAACTAAACTGATCCTCCCAACTTCCAAAACAAAAAGTGAAACAGACACCAGGTTGCCCAGCTAATGGCAGACCATTCTCAGGGTCATTCCCAGAAACTGGGTTTTATTTATGATCATTACAGCAATATCCTAGATGAACCTTATTGATCTATGTTGAACTTCAGGCAACACAGTTTAATATCCTTGGAGTTTATATTTAAAATGTAGGGGGATAATATGGAACTTCTTTGCATTAATCCTGTCTTCCTGCTAATCTCTAGGATAATACATGTAAAAACAGAATATATTTCCTGCAAAATACTTGGGGGTGAGGGAAATGCAAATGACTCACGCTGAATCTATTCTTTTGAAGCTACCTCTTGAGTAGAGAAACCTGTCGTCTACTGATTTCCTGCTCCTGAAATCTACAGGTCAAAGACTGTCAAACCATGTAAAGGATGGACTAACTTTTGTTCTGAGCAAAGAGTGTGATGAACTTGAAACCACAGAAAAAAACTGTGGGAGGTACTTTAAAGGAGTAGTTCTGCCAGAGAACACATTGGGGGAAGGTGATCTCTGGTAAGTTTATTAGCAAATGGGAAAGGCTCTTATTGTTTTTAATATATTTGCTATAACACTTTTAGCTTAAGAATAAAATATGCTTGCTTAGAAGAATTGCGTGGTAAGCTTAATCGTGGGTAAGGTACACTTCTTGCTCTCCGAAGAGAAAACGAACAGGCCTGTTTAGGCCCATTATGATTATTTATAAATGCACGTTGGAGAGCCATTTTCCTGCAGCCTCACAGAGATCAAAGTACTTAATGTCAAGACAAAAATTCTAAGAAGAGCTTTCGGTCACAGTTAACTCACGTGATTAAAGTTTTACATTAATCTCAATTATTCACAGTTTTAATCACAATATTAAACAGAATATTAATTGAAAATGTATAAAAACATCCAAAATATTTAATTTCAAATATACATTTCAATTACAACACAGAATACAAAGGGTACTGTGCTAACTTTATATTATTTTTGATGACAAGTATTTCCACTCTAAAAATGGTAATAGTATTTTTCAATTCACCTATTACAAGTCATGTAGCACAATTTCTTTATCATGAAAGTGCAACTTATGAATGTGGATGATTGTTACTTAACTGCATTCAACACAAAATAATGTAAAAGTCAAGAGCCTACAAGTCCATTCAGTTCTACTTCTTGTTCAGTCAATGACTAAAAACAAACAAACAAACAAACACAGCACCACCCCGCATAAAAACACCCAAATTTACAATTAAAGGAAATAATGCTTCCTGCTTCTTGTTTACAATGTCATCTGAAAGTGAGAACAGGCATTTGCAAAATACTTTGATGGCCAGCATCACAACATATATATGTTCCAGACAGGCTATGGAGTCATGGGTCTCTTCATGCTTCAACCACCATTCTAGAGGACAGATGTCAATGCTGATAGTGGGTTCTGCTAGAGAACAATCCAAAGCAGTGAGGACCCATGCATGTTCTTTTTCATCATCTGAGTCAGATGCCATCAGCAGAAGGCCGATTTTTCTTTTTTGGTGATTCAAGGTCTGTAGTTTCTGCATCATAGTGTTTCTCCTCAAAGACTTTTGAAAGCATGTTCTAAACTTTGTCCTGTCAGATTTTGGAAGGCACTTCAGATTCTTAAACCTTGGGTCAAGTGCTGTAGCTATCATTAGAAACTGCACATTGGTTCCTTCTTTGCATTGTATCAAATCTGCAGTGAATGTCTTAAAATAAACATGTGCTGGGTCATCATCCAAGACTATTATAACATGGAATATGGCAGGATGTGGGGGCAGGGGTGTATGTATGTATGGGGGGGGGGGGGAGATATACACTTATCCTGCAAGGAGTTCAGTCACAAATTAGATGAATACATTTTTTAAAACAAGTGTCATCAGCATGGAAACATGTCCTCTTGAACAGCGGTCAAGCATGAAGAGGCATATGAATCTTTAGTGCATCTGGCATATGACTTGTAGGCTCTAAAGGTTTATACTTGGATTGTTGGGGGGGGGGGGAGATATACACTTATCCTGCAAGGAGTTCAGTCACAAATTAGATGAATACATTTTTTAAAACAAGTGTCATCAGCATGGAAACATGTCCTCTTGAACAGCGGTCAAGCATGAAGAGGCATATGAATCTTTAGTGCATCTGGCATATGACTTGTAGGCTCTAAAGGTTTATACTTATTTTTGAATGCAGTTTTTTTGTGCATAATAATTTATAAGTGCAACTTTCATGATAGAAGTATTGTAGAGCAATCTCTCTATTAGGTGATTTGAACAATTTCATTTGTTTTTACAATGCAAATATTGGTAATCAAAATAAATGTATAGTGAGCACTGTACACTTTATATTCTGTATTGTAATTGAAAATCAATATATCAGAAAATACAGAAATAAATATGTAAACAGTATTCTATTATTGCTCAACAGTGTGACTGCACAATTTTAATTGTTCAATTAATCACAATTAATTTTTAAAATTGCTTGTCAGCCCTAATTATAAGCTTCATTTATTACACAAAGCCTTTCAGCAAATGATAGCTGTTAGAGAAAAGAAACTGCCCCCCCCCCCCAGTAAAAAAAGTTTGGCCAGGCCACTCTTGTTCTGCAGTACTCCTTGAGAGAAACCGGCTGCACCCTTCCTGCATACCATTGCCTTTAGAAAAAGGAAAGGTGTGAAAAGGGGAAAATAGCCTCAGACTCTCCCACCCGTCACCTTGGCGTGAGAACTGCGGGGCTTACCTGGTCGCATGAAACCTGCACAGTTTCGGCCCAACCCCTGGGACACAGACCCATCACTTGGTGACCATTGGGCCATATATGGTAATATGCAAGCACGGGAAAGCGATGTATGGATTTGGGGATAAATACCCATGGCAGTTTACTCTAGGAGGTCTTTGCAACACACGTACCACCGTGCGTGTGCCTTCTCTTATACTTCAAAGCGCTGCCGGCCTGATCAACCGACCAGCCACCTCCCCCGACTCTCGGGCGTAACCAAGGCCTTCGCAACCGAACCGATATCTGTGAAATGTTCCGTGTGCTGTGTAAGTTGATATGTATGATTTGATTTTTTCCTGTTGTATAAGCTTAGTGTTGTAGTTGTGTTGGGTAGTACATAGAGCTTGTGGTTATCACTGTTATTTAATTAGTGTAGCTGGATATTTTGCCTTCGCAACCGAACCGATATCTGTGAAATGTTCCGTGTGCTGTGTAAGTTGGTATGTATGATTTGATTTTTTGTTGTTGTATAAGCTTAGTGTTGTAGTTGTTTGTGGGTAGTACATAAGAGTTTGTAGTTATCACTTATTTTATTACTGTAGCTGGATATTTTAAGATTAGAGACTATTCCCCTTGCCATTCCCATCCCTATATCTCTGACACGTTTTACTAGAAACCATAGAATAAATATAATAAACATTGTAAATTCATTATTAACACGGTCTATTAAAATCTTAGAATAAATACTATAAATTCACCACTGTCATAAATAAATATTTTTTATTTGATAAAACTGTCCACCTGGTTCTGTCCTTCCCCCCTTGGGTATTCATTATCGGACCTGTGATTCTCACAACAATAGCCAAATATTCTACAAATGTTCTCTGCAGGCCAGAAGCAGATTATGGTTTTGTAGGGCCTTGGGCTCAAGCAAGTGGGGGTCTATCCCTATCCGCAGTCCATGGCCCCACCCTCTCTGGCACTCCTGCCATGGAAATGGGGTCAGGACGTGGGGTTTCCCCCACCCCACCTGGCTTGCAGGGTAGGCGGGCAAAGTGAGTCAGGGCACAGGGGCACGCTCACTTTTCCAAATCCTCCACAATTGGCTGGGACCCCTGGGGACAGACTTCATTGGCCCAGAGACTACTCTGTCACAGGCAGATACATTCAAAGCTGCGTAAGAGGGATGAACATTATAGTTAATAGGAACTGGTTGCCAAAATCTGCTAGGGAGCTTTGAAAAAAAAAAAATCAACCGTATTGTATAATCACCCATTTCCTCACTAAAACACAGTCACCTGTGAGGCAGAATGTGGCAGCAATCAACAGTGTCAGGCATGCTATGCAGTGCCAAGGATACATAGTGAAGGTTACACAGCTGTTTCCTCACACTATACGTTAATAGAAAACCTCAGGATCCAGGGTGGTTGGCCTGGCACCTTTTACAAGCCCTAAAACTCACTTTAAAATATCCTCCCTTGCAAGAAAAGCAGTTTTTCCTAAAGAGAAAAAAGGGAGGTAAGAGGAGCAGAAGGAAAAGGTTAGAGAGCAGAAACAGGAGGGGACAGAGCTTTTACACAACATCTGTAGCAAGCCATCTCTCAGAGTGCTGAAAGGGGTGGCCAGCTCATAGAAACCCATTTTTATTTTATTAATTGCTCTTTGTCTTCCCTCCCTTTTACCTGAAACATTGGATTTGAGTGCGACATCAACATGCTAAGTCATTCATTATCACAGTCAGGGGAAATTTAATCCTTCCCCCCTCCCAAAACCAGTCTAAGCCATCTCAGAAATCAAGGAGTGCCTCTGATTGCCTAACCAAGCAGGCATGAAGGGTTGTAAGAAGAGACAAAAAAAAAATGCAGCAATTCCATTTATTCAGCACAATCTGGACTTGATTGGTGGTCAAATATTGCTAACATTTCCTCTCAATGAATAGGATTCAGTACCACTGGTACCAATTAATGTAAGTGACCTTTTGAGCTGTTCAGCAGTGAGATTTACAGAAAGTCACCTCTCCTTTCACAAGAGTGCCCCCATCAGCCCCAGCTCTTTCCTCTCCCCCTGCTATTAGTTAGGATGGTGGCAGGGAACCTAAGACCTGGGTGCTGGATGCGGCCCCTGGCTTGCCTGAATGTGGCCCCTGAGGCCCAGGGCCCCCCCCCCCCAGCATTGGGGAGCCCACACTGTTGCTTCAGCCCCATCTTCCCACAAAATCTACTAGCCAGGGCCCCACTAGGCTCTGGTGTGTGAGGAGAATGTGTGGAAGGTCTTTCTCCTCAGTCAGGGGCCACATCAGTGAGGATTTGGGGTCTGTTTTTTTGCTTCTCACTTGTGTGAGGTCCCCAACTGATTTTTTGGGGGGTCAGTGGCCCCCACCCCAAAAAAAGGTTTCCCAACCCTGAGTTAGGAGGTGCTTCAGTAGGGTGGATAGGATGGGAGGGCAGAAACAGGCTGCCAGCATTATTAGCCAAGATTGCCAGCCACCACACCCTTAAGCACAGGGAAACCAGATACAAAAAAAAAAAAAATTGATCAAAGATGAGCTTGAATTATCTCCATTCATATTCAAATGTTCAATTAAAATCACAAGTAGCAGATTCAGCTGCTCTCATTATGTTGGCAAATCCTTGACCTCTTTTAGGGTTTTTTACTGCCGCCCATCTCCTTGGTATCTAAGAGCTTTCCATGCTTGTTGTTTTTTTTTAAAGCAAATTCCTAACGGGGTTTTACTCCTCTTGTCGCCTCTCGGACTGTCACCAACAATACCCAGACAAAAGTAATACTTACATAGCCCACCTTCAACCATCCTGAAAGGGTTAACATGCTTAGCCATGCAGAGTTTTTTCTAATAAAAGTAATGTGTCTATCCTATGAATCACTGCTTGAGTGTTTCTGCCCACAGCTGAGTGAGGTGTCTCAAACAGATCTGAAATGGAACTGACAACCACCTGCTTGTGTTGTTTAATTAAACTTCTTAATAAAGCAGTTGACTTTCCAATGCTCCCCCTCCCCATGCTGTTTCTTCAAGCACAGTAAGTCTCCTTGTCTTCTTGAACCCCCCTGATGGTGATGTGACCAGAATATTAATGTCCAATTCCTCTCTCACTGCAGGATTGCCAAGGTTTTCATGCAGAGGCAGCCGATCCTTGGAGGAGAACAGAGCATGTGTGCAATGTTATACTAGTTTCCAAGGAGTGTTTTGCCAAAAGAAAGGTCCAGATGCAAAAGATGGAGCCAGACCCACTCTGCCTTCTCTCTTTAGGGAAGGCTAGGTTTTGGATGAGACATCTTCCCCCCAACATCTCTCAATCAGAAATCCAGGCATACTGCAGGGCTACTGAAAGGGAGGAATTGACATGGGGACTCAGTAATGTTATGTTTCGAAGAGAACTAGAGTTTGGTCGGAGGGTATCCACGCAAGGCAGCTGCGGGGTGTGGCAGCATGGGTGGGCAGGGGGAAGAGAGCAGAAAGGGAGATGGTGCTGCTATGAGGAGGAGAAGGGAGGGAGTTTCCTCAGGTTCTGTCCTTCATTTCAGGCACCTCAGAACACACACACTCATCCTGAGGCCCCAAGGGTCAGACATTGAATACTGAAATTTCAGGCTCCAAAGTCCACATAGGCTTGCCAGAGAGTAAGTTTGTCATCCTCACCTCAGGTCTGGAGACGCCAGTACACAATACCTGGCCTGGACATGGTCTTTGCATCTAGCGCAAGCATGAAATTAAAAGGCAGCAGCAAGCTGCACCTGGCAGGATGAAAATCCACAGCAAGTACCTCCAAGGAACAGTAATTTGCAATACAGCCCTTCTTACAGTGTAGCCTGGTCCCTAAACCAGGCCACTTGCTGGGGTTTGTTTCTGTAAGTTCAGAGATTCCCTTCATGCTGTGCAGCCAGAGTTGCTCACCTTTTCCCCCAGGAGTCTGTGCAAGGGTCCACTTTTGTTATGTGTATTGCAGTAGCACCTATAGAATCCAACTGTGATCAGGGCCCGAGTGCTGACTTACTGAACTGAAGAGTATTATCCTCATTTTATGGAAGGGGAAGGGAGGCACAGAAAGGTTCAGCAACACAGCCAAGATCATGCAGCGAGTCTGTGGTAGAACCAGGAACTGAACCCACACATCCCGAGTCTCAGTATGATGCCTCAAGTGCAAGATCATCTTTCCAGCAGCTGAGACAGAACCATAATAGACTCTTGCCCAGCCACAGGATCGCACGGGAACAAGGATTTCAGGAATGTTTTTCTTACCTGATCTTTGTTGACGAATCCCCAGATTCCAGCAGCCACTTCACAAGCAAACAGGATCACCAAGCAAGTGAAGAACTGTGAAGACAGATTAGGAGAGAAACATCAACAGGCGTGAACACAGGGCAGAGAAAAGGGTTTTGAGGAGGGCAGCCCATAGTTCCACTGGATGAAGCATTGAGCAGTATAAACAACAGATTTTCCCTGTTGGGACAACTGATCAGGATAAAAATAGGACTTTGATGGCTTAAGGATTGTGTGACAAAAACATTCCATATTCATGGTACTGGGAGATACCCTTGAGCAGTTCCACTCTGGGTACAAATTGGGCTGTTATGGCTTGGGAAGAGATCATCAGGGGCTTGTCTGTCAAGAAAGGAAGAGGGCTCTATGGGAAATTATTTTTCCTGGGATTACAGGGCATGTTGTGTGAACCTCTTGTCTTGCCTCAAGCCACTCTAGATTTGCTAGCGTGGGGCTAAAAGCACGTACCAGCCACTGAAGCGCAGCAGTGCGTCAGGCTGTGATTTATGTAGGGTTCTCTTGGCAGCTGCCGCCTTGCAAAGCTACTGCAGTTTTTTGCATAAATATGAACACGTGGTTCTCACAGCCTCACCAGACTGCCACTTAAAGCGCATACTGAGGCTCTTTTCGGCCAAGCCAAAATCTCCAGCTACAAGATTCCAAAGCCCGGCAGAACCACTAGATCCTCTCATATGACATGCACAATGCAGCCTAAGGAACTTCCCCCAAATAATTCTTAGAACAGATCTTTCTGAAAGACATTCAGCCTCGATTTAAGGAATGCCAGCAGTAGAGAATCCACCCTGACACTCAGTAAATTGTTCCAATGGTTAAATTACCTTCACTGTCAAAAATGTCTGTCTCATTTTCAGTCTCAATTTTTCCTCACTTCAACTTCCAGCCCTTGAATAATGTAGCTTTGTATGTCTGGCAGAAGAGCTCATTATCAAATATTTAGAGACCAGTGTTCCCCGTAAGCTGTGCGCTTGTGCAGCTGCTTAGGAGAGATTCAAATGCCGCCCATCTGATTAGCAGAGTGCCCACAGGGAGGATGTGTTTCTACTGGTATTGCACATAAAAAATATATTTCACACGTGGATGGAAAAGATTAGAAGGAACACTGTTAGAGACTAATCGAGTCACCCCTTAACCTTCTCTTTGTTAAGAAAATAGTAATTATAAGATCCCAGAGCTCTGTCTAAGACAGGTTTTCTAATCCTTTTAGTCAGGACTTTTTCCAACTCAGAAAGATTCTTCAATTGTGGACACCAGAACTAGACAATATTCCAGCAGCGGTTACACCAGTGCCAGCCTACTCCTACTTGAGATGTCTGTTTAATATATCCATAGATCACGTGAACCCTTTTGGCCATAACATCCCCCTGGTAACACCTGTTCCGCCATCATGAGGGACAGACCCTTTGGGTTTCTGGGTGAACCTGGGGGTTCATTTTCTAGTCTGGTTTTGGGAACCTAATGAAAAAAAGAGAAGCTCAATCACACTGATCCACGTCATGTGCCCTCTAAGTGTTCCCGCAGCATTCCTGTGGGGACAGCCTTCTGAGCATTTCCCACAGTCTCTCCTGATTCACAGCAGAGTTGGTCTAGGGAATAGAGTAAGGCCAATGGCTCAGTTGCCTTGCAGCCAATTTCATGGAAGCTGAAATGGAAGAGAGATAGATGTGGAGATGAAAGAATACATCATAAAAAGGGAGAACTATATTATTGGCGATTGAGATTTCTTGCTCGGTTTCGCTCACCCACACACATGCCCAATGATCCTTGGCAGTCAGGAAAAAAATTTTTTTAAACTACTTGGAACAATTATTCCATAGCTAGTTTTTGTGGCCTCTGATTTGGAACTTCAGAGGCTAGACTCCAATGTGTAAAATGAAAGGGATTACAAGAAAGTAGGAGAAGTGGGGTTCTTTACAAGAGAAAGCTGTAGGCACTTGTAGCAATGCTGGCAGTTTCTGGTGTAACTTAATCCAAACATCAGAGGGGTAGCCGTGTTAGTCTGAAATTGCAAAAGCGGCGAGGAGTCCTGTGGCACCTTATAGACTAACCGAAGTGTTGGAGCATAAGCTTTCATGGGCAAAGACCCACTTCATCAGATGCACATATAAGGTGCCACAGGACTCCTTGCCGCTTAATCCAAACAGCTGATGCAAGGGTGCTGTAATTTCCAGACTGGACACTAGGTTTCACTCTTTCAGTTGGTATCTAGTGAGAAAAAGGTGCTTATTTACACGACCTAGGAAAGCCACACTTTTAATCATTTTGGCAATGTTTCGAGACACCCCCTCTAGACTCCCAACAAGGCACTTGGTACTTCCAGAAAAAAGTTACCTCCCCCAGAGAACCCATGTCAGATTTCACATGTCAGATTTTTATTGAGGCTCAGTGCCTTGACTGAAGGGTGGCACCCAGCGCAAGCAGGGTTGGGATTTAGGGAGGTGGGTCAGCTCCATGCAGGCACATGCTATTGAGGCTCAGTGCCTTGACTGAAGGTGCTCTCCAGTAACATGGAATTCACACCGTCTATTGCTTACCCTTCTCCTCAACTGAAAGCTTTACTACATTTTCCCATAAAGCAAAAGCCACATTCCCAGGGTCCAGCTAGAAAGCTTGCCCTTCTGTTTCAGGAACTCCCATTAATGTTCTAAAGGTCAGATTACTGCAAAACAAGAAGCAGTTTATTTCTTGCCTTCCAAAATGCTATCTAGCATCCCTAGAAGCAAAGCTCATGATGCATACTATGTGTGCATCTGCTACCAGCACCTCCTCTTAGGGCTATCCTCTTCCCGAGTCTCCTTTCCTTATGTAGTCTCCTATGCTCCTGAAACTTACATGGGTGGAGATGACAGCAGCACAGAACTTTCAAGGTGTTCGAGGGGAGGAAAACCATCCTCCTACCAGCCTCACAGCGAGAACCATGCCTGTGGCATTAGATCATTTCTGTGGTTCCTAGTCTTCAGCATCTCTGTCTCCAGCCTGGCTTTTGTGGACAATTTAAATGCCATTGACGGCTCTGTATCACTCCTGTGTAATGAATGTTTCCCCCTCGAGCACATGAGGAGTGAGGTCACAGGAGGGAAACACATCCTGGTTTGAAACACTTGCCTGGAAAGCTCCATGTCTCAGTGCACAGCGGAGGCATCAGTTTCTCTCGCATAACCACGGCTTTTCAGGTGTCATTCAAAGGTGCCAAGTGAAGGCCGGCAGCAAGTGCAAACTGGAGGGAGGGAAGCTATCAGCACTGCTAATTTCAGCCACAGCAGACAGTTTCACTAGGAAACGGTCTGTCACCTACCCATTAAATCCCCTTCCAGACTCCAAAGGGAGACCAGGTATTCAATTACCATAGCCCCTGGGCTTTACAAGAGCCTACTGACAGGAAGACTGTAACCTGCTGTTCCCAAGCTCCTCAGGACTCCACTCGGACAATGCCTGCCATATCTGCCACTTGGCTCCTCTTACCTTGGTGGTTATCAGTCATCATACCAGCTCTTAGACAGCACTCTTCATCAGTAGATCTCAAAATGCCCCACACAAGAAGCCCAGAATCATAATCACCATTTTATAGATGGGAAGCTGAGGCACAGGGAACAGAAATGACTTGCCTAACAATCACTCATCTAGCTGGCGAGTGCCGTGAAACTCTCTCGTGGAAAGCCAAACAAACTGGAGTCTAGTCTTAGATTACAACCCAGCCTAGAACTAACTTTAAACAAATAATCTTCCCCATTTCTCTGCAATTATAGCGGGGTGTTAAGACAAAAGTTAACAGAGGGGGCCACCGGAAATGGGCTCATAAGGATAGATTTATTTCCCAGAACACACAGGATGTATCATTGCAATGTGTCTTAATTCCAGGCACTCCACGAACAAACTTGGGCGCTAGAACTTCTCCAGCCATAGTCCTTTGCAGCACTGGGATTCAATGCAGACGTGAACTTTCACCCAAAGCTCAGACCAAAATTTCCAAGAGTCAAAGAAAGTTCAGAAAAGCCAACAGTTCTTTCCTTCACTGCTTATTTTACATATTCATATGGCTCTGTAGTTCTGGATTCTGCAAGCACCAAAATGTCACAAGAATGGAGGTGGAAATATCATGAAATAGTGTATTTTACAGACTCAGGAAACCAGACATAGGATTAACCCAAACTTACATCTCACTCTGAACACTAAGGTTGGCTAAGATTCCCTCTCTTCACTAGCACCAAAGTAATCTCCACTTTTCAATGGTTTAGTTTACCGGGTCTCCATTATACACAATCAAGATATACGAGACAGCGTAAGCTGATTAACTGGTGACATAATCTCCACTTTTCAAAGGTTTAGTTTACCAGGCCTCCATTATACACAATCAAGATATACTAGACAGCGTAAGCTGATTAACTGGTGACTGTCTACCACACATATATACACACCACCTACTCCAGATTTAGACACTGAATAGTCCTTACTGGAATTCCATGGCTAATGGACAGGAAGAGAGGTCATGGAGATCAAGATGAATGGGGACAATAGCATTGTGTTCTGGTCTATTAACATTTACACAAAACCTGCCTGCGGTTCTGAATTGTTGGATCACACGAATAATGCTTGCTTACATGTGTGACAGAGTTCCTAGCATGTCTCATGAGGGCCTGGCAAAGTGTCTGCTCTGGGACAATTCACCCTTAAGGAATTGGGTTGTCCCCACAGGTAGAAAATGATTTCCAGGTGGTTTATGGGGGGGGGGAAGACTGGGTTAGAAAGAAAGGAGGCAGGGGAGGTGTCTGTGGCTGCCTGGAGGCACTGTGCCCAGAGTGGGACAAAAATGCCGTGAGTCCCAACTGGCCTTATTTCCCTGTGACTGCTAGAATGAATCACAGTGCATCCTGCTTCCTACTCCCTCCCAGTCTACTGCTGGCCGCTACCCCATTCCACACATCAGAAGTTAGCAAGGAGCTGATGATGGGCACCAGCAACACAAACTTTTTGGCAGCTAGTCCAGAACTGCACAGTGCAAGCTCCAGAGTTGGCTTGAGAGCAAGGGAGGTTGCTCCCTTTCAGACACAGACAGCAAACTTCACAAAGGAACAGGGGATGGTGGAGAGAGAGACTCGGGTACCCAGGGAGACTACGCTCATCCTCAGGAAACAATGAAGCTATTGATACCCTTCATCAGTATCTGAAAGATTATTTCCCATCATCATCAACTAATAAAGATAGGAGACAACTAATCTTATCCAGTGGCCAATGCAACATTCTTTACCTAAATTCAACGGCGACGTTTCAACACGGCTAGCTTTTCTTCCCGTTCCCTTGACGATAAGGGAGTGAGGGGAAAGTATTTGCATTCTGTGAATTACTCCTCTGCCCTCTCCCTTCACCACCCAGGAGTGAGAGGCATGCACAGAAGCTGTGTACTTTCCCTTTGCTCCTTTATCATCAGGGGAATGGGAAGAAAAGCAAGCCGTGTCCTGGTCCTCATAGCTGCAACCCCTCCCCTTTCCCCCGCCTCCCCCCCGCTCTCCTGAAACACTGCCCTTGCTTATTTGCTTTCCTCCAGCGCTCCATTCATAACAGTTTTAAATGACTCCCATTATTTCCTGCAAATGTAATTTGGCAAAGCGGCTATTAAAAAGATCTGCCTGTACCATGCAATTATTCAAGGATTGTGTCTCTTACCGTTCCCAGAAGGCACTGGGACTCCTGGATAGCACCGTAGCATCCTAGGAACCCCACAAACATCATCACTGCACCCACAGCGATCAGAATGTAGATCCCTGCAAAAGGAGAGACACACAGAGGTTGGGCAAACATGGTAGTGAAGCGTCTTCCTCAGAAACATTCTAGCCTTTGAATAGACTTAGTGCTCTGAAAAGCTCATTACAAGGTTTGGATAACAAATGGACCAGCAGAGGAATAGCAGGAGATGCTGTGCACCTCAAATGTGCTATAGGAGCAGACACATGTGGAGAAAGTACCATAGCTGACTCTTCACTCTTACAAACACCTTACTTTAAAAAACAAATTCACACTAAAATTCAGACATCATAAAAATACTAGAATATAAGTGCAAACAATTGCTAGTTAAGGTTGAGTTCCAATGTCTGTTTCAAGCACTCCTAATGCCCACCCTTTATAGCGATGAAGGAGTTACATGCTATTGCAAAAGAGATTTCTTTTTCACATAAAAATGCCCATAGTTGATCTCTCAGTTTGAGCCAATGTCTGCTTGAAAATGAAGCGTGTGCGCACACACGTCAGAATCTAAAAGGGCCTGAAGCTAGTCATTTCAATCTGGTCTTACTTTAAGAAAAATCTAAGAGATCAAAGCAGCCCTTGATCACTGTAAGCAACTCCAGCCAAGCCAGTCTTCATAAAAAAAAATTAAAAGTCAATGCAATCGAGGGCAAATAAACAAAGCAAAAGGTTGCCCCTCTGAGTCAGTAAGACAGTGCAATGCGGACGTAGAAAAGTCAAGTGTTTAAAGTCCAAAGGTGCTAAAAGTGAAGTTTCATTGGGAGGACATATCCAGTGGGGACTCACAGAGGTCCCTCCTGGCCTAGTACTATTAAATAATTTAACTAATGACTTGGATAATGGAGTGAAGAGTAGTAGGTTTATAAAAGTCTACTGATTATACCAACTGGGGAGGGCTTTCAAGCACTTTGGAGGACATGATTAGAATTAAAACAACCTTGACAAATACAGAGAATTGGTCTGAAATCAACAAGATGAAATTCAAGTGCAAAATACTTCATGTATGAAGAAAAACTATCAAATGGAATGTCAAAGCAACGTTGTATGCATGACATGGGAGACACTTGTCTTGCATTATTCAGCATTGGTGAGGGCTCAGCTGGAGTATTATCTCCAGTATTGGCGAAGGCAGGGCACAGAAATCACCAGCCATGTGCCACCTCACCCAGCTTAGGGAAGGGTCATAACAGTGCCCTACTAACCTAGGCCCTGCCCTTGATCTGTCCCCTCCCCAGCCTTCCTCCGTCCCCACCACACTGACTCTTCCCCCAAGCAAGGCTGCCCAGTGTCCCTTCCTCCCGTCCTCTCCAGCAGGGTAATGGCCTCAGGCCACTGTGATCTCCCAGACCAGGGCCGGACGGAGGCATGGGCGAGCCGGGCAGCTGCCCAGGGCGCCACCCCATGAGGGGCACCTGATGACAGCTGTCAGGGGCGCACGGGATCCCTGACAGCTACCATCAGGAGCCGCGCGCCCGGCTCCTACAGAACCGGCCCCAAGGCGCCAGCCAGCAGTGCCTTTCCCCCTGCAGCTGTGGGGCCCTGCAGGGCCTGGCACGCGTGCCAGCTGTGCTGGCCGGGCCAGGCTGGGCAGCGCATGCGCTGTGTGCCCCAGGGGTGTGCCCCAGGCTGCGCGCCAGCGGCCGTGACCAGCCCGCGCATGCGCCGTGTGCCCCGGGGGGCGGGCCTGCACACCCTGGGGGGGCGGGGCTCACGCCTGCGCCCTGTGACCAGCCCGCGCATGCGCCGTGTGCCCCGGGGGGCGGGCCTGCACACCCTGGGGGGGAGGGGCTCACGCATGGGCCCTGGGCTCCAAAAGGGCTCAGGCCGGCACTGTCCCAGCCACTCCACTTTCCATGGGTGAGCAGCGGTTGTCCCTCCCCCCGCAGCGATGCAGCCAGAGCTGGGGCCATTGCTCTGCTTGTCCCACCATTGCTGGCGAGGACCCCAGCTGCAGGAATCAGACCCCACCTCCCGCAGCCAGCCTTTGGGGCATGCAACCCCTCATCACCTCCACATGGTCTATGGTTCTGGGTGTCACACTTTAAGGAAGATGTGGATGAATTAGGAGAGAGTTTAGAGGAGAATAAGGAAAATGATAAAAAAAAAGTTTTAAAAAGCCTGACAAGAGGAGAAAAGGTTAAGAAAAGCAGGGCATGTTTAGACTTGGAAAAAAATATTTAAAGGGTACCTAATAAGTCTTCAAACATGGTAAGGGCTGTTATGAAAAAGAGGAGGATCAACTGTTCTCTCTTTCCCCCTAGTATAGGAAGGACAAGTAATCTGCAGCAAGGGAGATTTAGGTTAGAAAATAAGAAAAAGTTTAACAACTACAAGGGTAATTAAATACTGGAATAAGCTACTGAGGGACGTTATCGAATCCCAGTCACTGGAGATTTAAGAACAGCTTAGAGAAACACCTGTCAAGGATGATCTAAGTTTACTTGGTCCTGCCTCATCACAAGGGGTATGGACTAGATCAGTGGTTCTCAAACTCATTTAATTGAGCCCCATTCCCCACCCCTTCTTTGTGTCTGTCACTCCACTCACCCATCCCTTTGGGTGCCCAGTCAGCAGCCACCCAGAAGTAAGGCAATACCATACCATCCTTAATTCTCATTGCTGCTAGCAGCACTGTCATCAGAGTTGGGTGTCTGATCAGCAGCCACTGCTCTCTGGCCACCCAGCTCTGATTGTGTGCAGTAAGTCACCCTGGCCTCAAGATTCTCTCACACATACACCCCAAAATAAATTCCACACATCCTAATTTGAGAACCTCTGGACTAGGGATATAAAAGAGTGGAGACATTTAAACAGGTAACCTATCAGTTACCCAAATAATTACACGAGGCTCCTGGTCTGGCTCCTGGGGAGCTGGCTGTCTCCCTATGCTGCCTCTGTATGAGAGGCAGCAGTGCAGGACAGCAGCCAGCTCCCTGGGAGCAGGGCAGCAGGTGGGAGCTGGTACTCGCCAGGAACTGCTTTAAAAGCCGGCTCCTAGCACGCACCAATTCCCGGGGAGCTGACTGCCACCCTGTACTGCTGACTCTTTATGAGAGTCTGCAGCATTGGTGGATATAGGGCAGGGCGAATGGGGCGGCTGCCCCGGGCCCCACGCTTCAAAAAGCCCTGTGCATGCGCCGTGGCAAAGGGGAGCCCCACGAAATTATGCTGCCCGGGGCCCCGCAAAACGGTCATCTGCCCCTGGTCTGCAGCATAGAGTGGCAGCAGGCTCCTCGGGGAGCCAGCATGTAACCTGCATCCTGGGGAGCCAGCATGTAACCGCTAACATTTTCAGCAATTACATGGTTACAATAATGACCATTTTTTAACATCCTTACTCTGGACTAGATGATTTCTTCTCCCCCAGAATTGTACATTTCTACCATTCTATTCTATGGCAGAGAATACCCAGGGAGCAGCCAGAACGTTTCAACTCTAACTTTTGGCATGTTTAACGTTTCATTGGTAATGCTACATTTATGCAACATGTTGCTATGTACAGTCACCAGCAACTGGAGGAAACCAGCTGCAAAGGAAATAAAAGGCTACCAAGGCCACACTGAGACAGCCTGGCACAGAAGGAAATTCAGCTACATGAAACCCAAAGGGATTTACTGTCAGTAACCAACTTCCTCTTGGTAATGGCCTAGTAACAGTTATTGAAAGGCAACATGATTAATTGTGGGAGGAATTTCTGCACTCTCCCTGATCACAACCTGCAAGTGTCAAGTTTACCAGCAGAATCTACAGTGCTCAGGGAACCCTTCCCTACAGTATCAGGTATGTAGTTCTCCGAGGATAGCACCTTTAAGTTCTTTTATAGAAGGACTAAATTTATACAGCACTTAGCACAATGGCATCTTGGTTCACAACCAGGGCTCCTAGATGCTACTGAAATAAACACTTTCAGTAACCCCCTTCCCATCCTCTTTTCTGCACCTCTGCATCCGATTCACACTCAGGCTGGTTGGAGTAGTCACGTGGATCATCTTGCACACTACTCAAATTCCCAACAACCAGGAAGACTTAGATCAATGGCCCGCGGTACTGTAGACTAAACCTAAGTTTCAGCTATCATGTGGCTGAAGTCGACATACTTCGATCTATTTACCATGGGCTCTTCACTGCAGTAAGTCGACAGATGATGCTCTCCCATCGACTCCACCTATGCTCCTCATTTTGGTGTAGTACCCTAGTAGCTTGGCAGCTGATTTATCATGGTTATACCAGCCATGATAAATTGACCCCTCCCTCTCACATGGACTGATTGCTGTCTGTCAATCCAGCCAGTTGCGAGGACATGCCCGTAATGTGTTGTCCCTGCTCCTGCCAACCCTGATGAGAGTTGGCTTTACATGGTGTGGCAAGGTCCTTGCTCAGGCCCCTCACCCTGGGACACCTTCTTTGTCCACAAATCACCAGGAGACCCTTTCTTGTGCAATGGCTCGTGCCTTTTATTGTCTATTTCCCCATCACCTTCTATTTACAGAGCTTTGGTTTTCCAGCAGCTAACTCAGCTAGCTAACTCTCTCTCTCTCTCTCCCCCCCCCCCTTCTGCCTGGGGAGTGCACACAGCCACTCTCTAGCTTCTCCCCTTCCACTTCCCCACTGGCTGCCTTATCTAGCCCTCTGGCTAATGAGGCCCACAGCTGCCTCTCATTAGCCCCTCAGACCTGGGCTTGCTCAACTGGCTGTAATTGGCCTTTTCAGCCAGACTGTAGTGGCAGAGCTCTGGCTTAGCCAGCAGTTTGTCACAATTGTAACACAAGTGCACAAACAAATATCTAGGTGATCACTGAGACTTATCAACAAGGACAGGAGTCAGGAAGGGGCAGGAGCAACTCTTGGTAGCAAGGAAGCTTGTGGCAGCTGTAAACCACGGGAGATCTGGAGCCATGGGACATATCAAGAGTTAAAATGTTGTGAACCCAAGAGTTCACTTTAATTTAGACGTGAGTTCAGCTGCCACAGGTCAACTTGTGACCAATTGTTGCAAAGAGAGTAACAGGGAGAGGGGGAT